TATAATTGTATTGAAGACAATACACATATGTTGTTGTCATTAAGTGCCATCAAGTCAGTTCTAACTCAGAGTGATCCTGCACACACACACATACAGGGCCTTTTGAAAGCTCATTGAAAAATGGAACTGAACAATTGTGGACTTTTTCTACCAACTTTTTGAAGCTCCCTGTATATGCTGTTGTTAGGCACCATTAAAGCAATTCTGATTCACAGGGACCCTGTGCACAACAGACCAAAACACTGCCCACTCCTGCCTCAGCCTCCCAGTTGTTGGTGTGTTATAGTCACTGGGCCAATCTGTCTCATTGGGGCTCTTTCTATTTTTTTCCTGCCCTCCACTTTACCAAGCAGGATGTCCTTCTCCAGGGACTTGTCCCTCCTGTTGACACATCCAAAATACTTGAGATGAAGTCTTACCATCCTGGCTGCACTTCTTCCAACACAGATTTGCTCATCCTTCTGGCTGTCCACAGTATATTCAATATTATTTGCCAACACCGTAATTCAAAGATATGAATTCTTCATTGGTCTTCCTTATTCACTGTTCCACTTTCACATGCATTTGAGACAACTGAAAATACTCCTTAATCTTCAGAGTGACATCTTTGCTTGTGAACACTTTAAAGAGGTTTAGTACTCTGAATTCCATTCATATTACCTATCCAACCATCCATCCTTGCTTCTGTCCATCCACACTTCGTCCATGCTACTGTCTAGCCATTTAATCCACCCTTCCATCCATTCCTCTGTCATTCTTTCCATCCACCCATCCACCCATTCCATCATCCAGCTTTCATTTCTTCCTTCCTTCCTTCTTCATGTCTCCATCCATCTATCCACCTACTCATCCACATATCTGCCCATCCATGCATCCCTGCACCCACCTATCTAACCAACCCGCCCATCTACCTATCCACCCACCCACCTACTCATCTACCTATCCATCCATCCACCCACTCACCCATCTACCTGTCCATCCATCCATCCATCTACCCACCCACCCATCTACCAATCCATTGATCTATCTATCCATCCATCTACCCACTTATTCATCCATCTACCCATCCATTCATCCATCCACCCACCCACCCATCTACCCATCCATCCACACACCCTCTCATTCATTCATCCACTCATCCACCCTCACACTCACCCACTAATTCATTCATCCATGCCTGTTTTCCATCTGTTCGGAGTGACTCTGCTGTGTCCTTTGCAGAATGCACATGGTGGGCCCTGCTGGGGGACAGAAGACTCAGCGTCTGGATGTCTCGGTGATTTTACTCATTGGTTACTAAGGGTAAAGGGAGCCTTTGAATTTGCCTCTGCCTCTGAGTTCTCAGTGATACGGTGAGGCTCTTACCCTCTTCAATTTCCATCACAAAGTCAGTGATGAGTAAATTGTTTAAAGCTAAACAGAAGTCTCTGGTTGGGCTCTCCGACAAAAGTGCCTGGAGAGCCAGGTGCTCTTAGTTACTTGTCGTCTCACCTGGCATGTGTATTTCCATAGGTGTCGTTTCTGTCTGAGAGACGATTTAATTGGAGCTTTTGTAAGGATTCTATTCTGCACCTTCCTGTGCTAGCTAGTACATCCGTGTTTTATATTACGAGCAGTCGGCTGGCTCACCAGGGTCTCTGTGTCCCAACACAGCTAACTTGGCGAGCTCTTTCACTAAAGCATAACGTTCACATCCACTGAAATCTCTTTGACAGAATGATGTTTGGGAAAGGACTTTCTTCTGGGATTACTACACATGCCATAGAAAAATTTTGTATACTCTCTGTTGTGGTGAGAGTATTGTGGCTAAAAGGCCACGTGGACAAAGAGCGGAGACCCCCTTCTCAGCCGGTGTCCCAGGCTGCTAAGATGTCAAAGCCAGAACCCCAGATATCAGTGTTTAATTTCCTGCATCGAATCCAAGTGTGAGTCTCTTCCCAGCACCTGTGCGCCATGGTGGGCATCTCATGGCACCCCCAAGCTCATCTCGATCTACTCCCTTTGTTCTTGTGACCCTTTTCCTCGCAATCCTCCTTTTGGGTGGACAGGGCACAGCCCTGCTGGTCACCTTCAGAGCAGCATCAGCCGCTGTCTGAGACTAGCAGACATCTGTGTTGTTTCTTCCTCTCCAGTCCACTTGGTGATGCCCCCGCTTCCTCCAGGGTAATTGTTTTGACTCCTCGCTCTCTCCAAGTGCACTTGGGATCAAGTTGAAACTCATTAGCGTGGTTTTCAGAGGCCTCTTAGCGCCAGTGTTGCTTCTTGCAGCTGGAACATTCCTGAAGTTTGGGGGCTGTTTCTAATGCTCCCTACTCCATGAGGCCACAGAGGAGACGATGGATTTACCAAGCTGACTCTACAGGACCGTCAGGTATACATTAAGGGCTTCATGTTTGCCTTCAGGACTGTTTCATTCTCATCCAACTCCTTTGCCCGTTGCTCACTTCATTTTTCTCCCATTTCATTTTACTGACTTCTGGACTTCCGGTGTGACGCTGGACTGCTGACCACAAGGTCGGTGGTTCAAACCCACCATCTGCACCTCAGAAAGCCTACACAGGATCACTATGAGTGAGAATTGACTTGGTGGCACTTAACAATAACAACAACAACATAGGCAGGGTTGTAGTTCTGGAGTGGCACTGTAGGATAAGTGCTGGATTGCTAGCTGCAAGGTTGGTGGTTCAAACCCACCAGCTGCTCCTGGGAAACCCTACACAGGGTCACTGTGATTCGGAACCAACTTAATGGCACTTAACAACAACACCAACACCAGGGTTGCAGTTCTGGTGTGGCACTGTAGGATAAGCACCGCAAGGTCGGCAGTTCAACCCAACCAGGTGTTCTTCAGAAACCCTAGACAGGGTCGCTATGGGTCAGAACCAACCCAACAACAACGATCTACTGACTTTTAAACCATGATTCCTTTGTCTCAGACATGTGACCATTCAACCCTAAACAAACCAAATTCACTGCCTTTGGATTAATTCGCACTCATAGTGACCCTTGACCTCATCCCACAACTCTTCTGGTCTTCCGTCTTTAGTGTTGAATGTATCAGATCTGTTCTTCAGATGATCTCTAAATTCAGGTGGGATAGATTCAAGGTCATATTTTGGCTCTTGTGGACTTGTTTTCATTTTCTTCAGCATCAGTTTGAATCTGCTGCACAAGACCTTTTGAAAGTGTTGAAGAGCAAAGATGTCAGCTTGAGGACTAAGGTGCACCTGACCCAAGCCATGGTATTTTCAATCACCTCATATGC